TTCAGCAGCATTCACGCCTTCCCGGACTTTGCAAGCACCTACCCTCTCACGTATGATTTTCACAATTTCCTGGTCAACCTGCCTATGAAAGCAGAAAAACAATTTGGAGAATGCTGTAACACACATATTTGTTCCTCCAATTATCCATGCAAGCTCAGTGCCCTTTACTGCTACTTAAAAGCATCATCTTTTTAGGCTCATGCCCCCATTGAAAAGTTGAACAGCACCCAAGTGAACCAGTAACAAATCTTGATCAAAGCAGGCCCAGCTTACTATGATTACACCTTCAAACAAAATGTTTGCATTAGATAAAATATTGAAGATTGGGCCAACAGAGTAGAACTATGTTTTCATAGCCTTTTTAGTTAATCAAAGGAACCACTTCTCACTGTCCTGTACACACCTTTATGACTGCAGAGGCCCCCTTTGGAAGAGAAGCTTTCTGCTCTTCTTTCTTATTTGTTCCACCACTGTAATTTATAAGCCTGACCACAGGCCGTTTCAAACCCTTCTCTTGGAGTATCTGTGGTCTCACCTATATTTCCAAGCTTGCCATCTTTTAACTGCTGCCTGTGCTGCTAGTTACCTAACAGACTACAAAATACTTCAAGCAATTTGAGCACATAAGGCTGCAGATAACTGTAGCCTTCCCAACAGATCATTCGGCAAGAGACGGTAACTCGGGAAAGATACAGACATACAAATCTCGTTTCCACTGCATCTCCGCTTCGTAGATGCACAGGTAGTCGTCCTCCATGCATTCTGTAATGTCTGGCACCCGGCGGAACTCCCTGTGATAGTAATAAACCTTATGGTTTGCACGCAGGTGTTCAATCCATTCTGTTGAAAGAAAAGAGGAGGCCCATTCAAGGCAGGAGCCAGGGAGCTCTTTTAATCAGTGAGGTTAAAAAGGCAGTGATCCTCTAGGACAGAGGTCTCCAAACTTGGCAACTTTAAGACTGGTGGACTTCAACTCCCAGAATTCCTCAGCCAGCAAAGCTCAGTTTGGAGACCTCTGCTCTAGGACCTTAAGACAGTTTGCCCCTTTTTTGTATACAATTTATATTAAAACTATTAACAAGAAGATAAAAACTGAGAAACTTGATGTATAGCATGGAAGGAATAAACAATAAAAAGAAACCAAAAAGCAAAAGGTTGAGGAAAAGGAAGCTAGAGAGGGATAGAAATGAAAGAAGCGGTTTCCGCGGTTCTTCCCAGCATTCCGGTCCAGATGCAAGCAAGCGAGGGAGCAACTCAGGGGGCCGGTCTCTAGGGAGCCCCCCTGGAAAGGCCGCCCTGCTCCCCACCTGAACGGGCAAGGGGACACAAGCGGCCCGCCCGTCGCGCTTCATGCTCTGAAGCAGGCCGAGCAAGCAGGCCGAGTCAGCCGCTGATCCCTGCAGAAGACGCGCTACGGGGCCCGCCGGCTCCGAACTGGGCCGCCCTCCCGGTCTCCTCCCCTGCCCAAGGGGCCCAGCGGGGAAGACTCTGCGGCGTTCCCCTCACCTTGGCAACGGCAGGGTGCGTGGACTTCGGCTCCCAGAATCCTCGCCGTCACGCAGGCTGTGGAATTGTGGGAGCTGAAGTCCACGCGCCTGAAAAAGAAGCCCCGCCTTCCAACCGCTACGGCTTCAGGATGATGAGAGTTGTAGTCGCGAAAGCGCCGCCCACCCTCCCAGGAGCTCCTGCCCCTCCTCGTCCTCACCTCTGTACAGGGTGACCGGTCTGTCTACCGTGTAGTAAAAGAGCTTGTCGAAGAAGAGAGTCGGGCCGGAAGTGGGCACCAGCGGTTCAGGGTCCGGAACGTCGACCGGGGGCAAGTTATACGCGGCCCGCTCCGAATCCTTCGACATCGCCGCAACCTCTAAATCGCTTGACCGAACAAAATGGCGGCGGGCAACAAGTGCGCATGCGTATGCTAGCGAGAATGCTTTCTCTTTCCGCCGCCCAATCGGTGGGGAGGCGTTTCATTTTGAGGCCGACACGACGGGCCCACCAGGGGGCGTGAGAGAGCGGCCTTGGGCCCGCTGCGACGCCTGGCGCGGCTCTTCCGCCGCCTTCCTCCCTTGCACGGAGGCCGCTTACTGCGCGCCGGGGCTGGGCAAGAGGCTTTCCCGGGAGCCTCGTCTTCCCTCTTTAGCCCCGGGGCGATATTTGCACGGGCGCTTCATGGAGCCCCGTGGCCAACGGCGCAGGAGGCGGAAGGCGGGTTTTCTTCTGGGAGGGGGCCAGAGAGCCCTATTCGGCCCCCGCCCTGCGGGTGCAGGAGCCGCCGTCCAAGGCTCCGATGGGGGCTGCCAGCCGGGGTCGCCCTTTGACTGCCGCCCAGCTTGGGGCTGGGCTCTGAAGAAGCAAGGCCCCCTTCCCCGCATTAGGTGCCCCTTTGGAGGCAGAGGAAAAAGAGGTGGGAGGGGCAGGGACAGGCCTTCCAGAGTCTTGCAAATCAAAGAAAACAGACTTTATTCTTTGATCAAAGTTAAAGTTCTGGGTAAGAAATTCCTTCCACATCACTAGAGACATGGGAGGAAAATTCTACAAAAAACAGAAAGATGTCCTATCCTTACACATGCAAAAGTCTTTGTTCTTAGTTCTCTAATTACCTTGTAAATCTCTAGTCTCCTGTTTGGGGGGGGGGTTGGATTAGAAGGCCTCCAAGGTCCCTTCCAACTCTATTCTGATTCTAAATTCTGATTCTAGTTATTAATTTTCAAAGATAATACACAAACAAAACAAAACATAAAAACAAAAAACATCTTTTCTGAAAGCTGCTTTTTGAGTTTTAACAAAACAAATAAAACATCTTATTTGAGTACAGCATAGTTCCAGGTTATCACATTTCCATACAGACACAATTTCATATGCATATTCATCTTATATATTCAACTTCATATCTTATTACTCTTTTTCCAACTTCTCACTCTTATTCAATTGTATTTCTTTTACCTAGATTTCTATATCTTTTTATTCATTAAATTTTCATCTGTCTTATTTACGATTTCATATGTTCTCATCCAACATTCTTAATTCTCAATAAACAAACATAAACAAACAAAACACGTAACATGAAAACAAAAAACTTCTTTTTAGAAAGCGGCTTAACCCCGGGTTACATCTTTTTGTACAGACATAAATCAAATTCATGCTCACCTTATATACCATTTCATATCTTATTTAACATTCTATATTTTCTATATGTCTTCTCCCCTCTTTTCACTCTCTTAATTCTATTTTATTTCATCTCAATTTAAATCATTATACTTGTATCTTTTGTCTGTTCTTTTTCAATTACCTATTTATCTTTTCTCTTTAATACAAAATTTCTTCTGTAATCACTGGTTGAAGTGTGACGCCTTTCTATCTTTCCCCTAAATTTAACACTTAAAATAATATATAATTTCCATTCTGATTCTGCTTAGTACATTCTACGTACTACATTTTAAAATAAAAAATAAGTTTATAATATAGTTAAAACAATGTTCCATAGCAAATTAAACTCTATCATTAAATCTTAGACATTTTACACATTCCCTTTAATATTTTATTAACTCATATAATATTCCAATTTTCTAACTCTATTTCAAATACAAACACTACAATACAATCTTATGTACTTTTGCAGAATCTCTTTTTTAATTGTATTTTACCCCTTTGTCTCTGAAAAAAACCTGTTTTTTAACATCTTGTTTCAAGCCTTTATAACTTCTCTTCCCTTTTTCCCTTCCTTTCTTATCGAATCTAGCCTTTTTACCCCACCCCCTCTTAATCTCCGTCCTCTTAGTCTCCCCTCTCTGTTGTATTCCTCTTTTCTGTTGCTTTCTGACATTGTATCGATTTTTCACCTTATTTTTCCCTTTCTTGGTGGTTTTTTTAAATCTTGAATTCTCCATTCTCTTTCCCCTCTTTCCCTTTTCTTCCTCAACTAAAATTGTTTGTTCATTTAAGATGGCTTCTTCTTCATCCCAGCCTTCTTGTTGTTGTAATTCCTGGTAGGTAGAAATCGCCATTTCTAAGAAGTGAAAACAGATCCAGAAGAGCCCTTGCCTACTTGTTCCTCTTCGTTTAGCTTTTTGAATTCCATTTTCAATTCTTCAACAGATAATGCCATTGTGAGATATATTTTTTAAACAACCCAAATGTTTTTAGTCTTTCAAAAAATAGTTTCCAAAAGTCCCAAAGTCACCAAGCAATCCAAATCAACACAAACTGTTTCATTTAGCACTTTCTTCTTTTTATACTTTCTCTTCCTGGGGTAGAATTCAATTACAAAGTTCCAAAATGTATAAACTCCAAGCAGTCTCCTCCAGTAAAGTCTTAATATAAGTTCTTTAACCTCTCCCTTCCCACTTATAGCAAAAAGATTTTAATTTTTAATTCCAATGTTCAGAAATCTTTAATGTCCCCTTGGCTTTAATTTTCAAATTTAATTACCTTCTGTTGCCAAAGCGGGTTTTTCCGATTTCCATCTGCTATCTCCGTAGGGAAGGAGAGTGAGAAAAAACAAACTTTCCCTTTTCACTTTCATCCACTGCTTTTTACGATCTTAGGGAACAATGTATCTTTACGAAAGTTGAATTTCCAGGGTATTTAGATGTTACTTCTTGTCCCTGTTCAGCCAAAAACTTTCACTTTCTCAGCTTCCTCCTGCACATTCTTGTCCGGCTGAAAGCTTCTTTGTGGCGGCCATTGCTGACCGCCGCTCCACCGCCTTTGGAAAAGGGAGTTAAGCCGGCTGAGGAAGGGGGTTGCGATTCCCCCGGACCCCTGCCCGGATCTCCCCTATCTTCAGTTATCTCTACAGGATAACTATAGCCTCCAAATCCAACTGGATCGGGGGCACTCCAGCAGCGAGCGCAGCAGGAACCGTGCACGATCGCGGATTCCTGCCGCCGCCAAAGCCTTACCAGGCATATGTTTAACAATGACTAAATACACAAGGAAATATGTTTACAGCAGGATAAAATACATATTTTTCAAGAGACCAAATGTCCATAGAGTAACTTTCTACTTAATGCTCCTACATTTCTACTACATTTCTTTATTATTACTATTCCCTTCAGTCTGACTTGGCTGCAGGGATTCTACGCCGCAATTGATGAGCCCTGAAGTTCACAGAGGGGAGCAGGAAATGGATCAGGAAGCCGCAAAATGTAGAAGCTCCGTTGCCACACAAAAGACCATTCACCCACTCATTATTGGCACTTATTTGACTCACTCAGTTGGGTTGACCTGGTAGGTGAACCAGGCACAAAGTCTGATGATGGCTGGTTTCTCGTGTAGCACCAGAAACCAAAGATTTGTGGGTACGGAGTGTGTATCGTGAACATGGTTTTGGATGAAGAATGTTGCATTTGTTGAATGTTTTTATTTATTCCGGAGCTAATAAAACTACAAAAAACCCCTCCCTACAGATTCTTGGCTCCACTGTCTCTTTATGGCAGGGGTTCCCAAACTTGGCAACTTTAAGACTTGTGGACTTCAGCTCCCAGAATTCTCCAGCCAACAGAGCTTCTGGGAGTTGAATTCCACAAGTCTTAAAGTTGCCAAGTTTGGAGAGCTCTGCTTTGTGGGCTTCTCACCCTATTCCTTGATGCTGAGCTTGACATTTTGAAATCAAAGATTTAAACATTTCCACTTCTAGAAAGAAAGAAAAAACCCTTGTTGATGCTTGCATAGTTTACTACAAATGCTTTTCATCTGAAAAAAAATCTGAACGTAGGGAACCCCCAGAGCTCTTGTGTCTTGACAGCCTGGCAGAACCCCACTTCCTTCTGGCCAGAGGGGGGTGTTTTCTACATTGGAAGGAAGACTTGGCAAAGGGAGAAATGTCCCTATGCTACCCTGGGGGTCTTCCTTCAACAGGGTAAAAGAGAAGCCTTTGTGCAGGACCCTTTTTTAGACAAAGCCATTTGGGGCTGCATGGCTCTCCCAGGGGAGCCTGTTTCGTCTGGACTCAGGGCTGCAAGGGGGCAGAAGAGGCTCCCCTCTCCATGGGCTTCCTGCTTGGCTGTCAGGTGGGCTCCACCAAGAGGTAGAATTGCCTTTGGGAAGGCAGTGGCTGGTGGTGGGTGATAAATTTGTCGAGAGTGACCTTTCGTCTCCCTCCCGAGGGTGAAATGGATAGTGCACCAGAATGAAGCCAGCTGCTAAATTTATGTCTTGGGGGGGAGAGAGACATCTCTGGCATTAGGCAAGCCAGGCACTTGCTGGTAGCCTCTTTCTCTCTAGGCAGCCTCGGCTGAAGACGTCGGATCATGGTACTGGCAAGCGATGGGCCTGGCCTTTATGGGGCTGTGGGGGGCAGGTGGCGTGTGGGGGGGGGGGAGAGAAGGTGTCTGAAAGCAACGGCTTGCAGGAGGCTTTCAGGGAAAGGCCAGGGGATATGGCTTTTTCATTTATTTTCTCATTTACTTGTTTGTTTACTTATTTATTTAGCATATTGTATAAACAGGGTGGAGAAATCCCTTTCTTTGTTGTGAGAACTACTAAAGCTAAAAATAGAGGATTTCACATCTGGAGCAGACCTTCCTCAACCTGGAACAGAATAGAATCTTTATTGCAATTAGTATCAAATACATAATAAAACTTGATACTATAAACTGATTGCATATATGAAAGAAAATATCATAAAGTAGGCATATTGCTACGCATTTTACATATACAATTTTTTATATTGAAAGTAACAGAATCACATGTATCCAAAAGTAAAAATTGTAAATGGAAGCAGTTGGGACAACCAAGGAGTTTATCAACTCTAAATCTGTACACACACACACAAAAAAAACAGATGATAAAATGTAACTTACAGTTTCAGCAACCTGTCTGTCATCTGGGCAAAACCTTGTATCTCCCTTTTGAGACCTCTATAGAGCCAGCCAGGAGGCCTCCTTGTATTTGGAGATTATAATTTAGCTTAAATATTTGGTGGGTCTAAAGAGGGCAAAGGAATTGGCTGCTAATATATCCTTAGAAAGAGATGCCTGACTCTAGTAATTGAATATCATCACCTTTCATCTGTGGTCTCAAGCCTGGTATTGCCCATTTCGTGCCTGAGTTGGCTGAGCTGAGTTAGGGTGAACCCAATATTTTTTTATACCATTCTGCTCCAGGTGTGTTGGGACTTTTTATTTCCTGCCTTCTCTAACAAGGTTTTCATGATCTTTGCAAGATCACAGTAGTAACTAGCTGCTCTTCCCCCCCCCCCCAAATTCTTCCACTTTTCCAGTCTCATCGGAAGTTTTCAGCTCCCAGGCATGGCCACCTGGGCTTCCTTCCTCATAAGAGGAGCCGCCGACATCGAGGGAAAGTGAAGAGTTGGCCCAAGGATGATCCCAGCAAACCAGTGCACCTGACGGCCTTCCTGGGCTATAAAGCTGGCATGACACACATCCTGCGGGAACTTCATAGATCAGGACTAAGTATGTGCCAAGTTTGCTTAATTCTATTCCTCACTTAGAAAGTTCATGGACCTCAGGCACTGGAAGAGGTTAAGTGGCCACCAAGTCCATGCAAAGTGCAAGTAGCCCACTTCTATTTGAACTCCTCCAGAAAAGGGCAGGCTACTATTTCCTTAGGTACTGGTTTCTTTGTCAAATTACTCTTCCTTGTAGGAGTTGGTTTTCAAATTTAATATCAAATTGTTCCTCCTCCTCAAGATAAGTTCAACTCCTGGTTACATCCAAGTACTTAGGGAAGTGGTTTGCTGTTTTTCTCTTTAGTCTTTTTGTCTCGTTACCACCCAGGTTTCCTGATGCTCTCCTAGTCACATACAGGACTCACAGCTGTGTCTTTGCCTAGGTTATTCCATGTCCCACTTGCTAGCAGGATTAACAGATTAACAGATAATCAGAGTTGGAGGGAACCTTATAGGTCATCTAGTCCAACCCCCCGCCCAAGTGGGAGACCCTACACCCTACACCAAATGGCAGTCCAATCTCTTCTTGAAAGTCTCAAGTGATGGCGCTTCCACAACTTCCAAGGGCAAGCTGTTCCATTTTCACTGTCAGAAAGTTTCTCCTTATTTCCAGGTTAAATCTCTCCTTGTTCAGTTTCCATCCATTATTCCTTGTCTGGCCTTTGGGTGCCTTAGAAAATAGCTTGTCCTTTTCCTCTCTGTGGCAACCTTCAAATATTGGAAGACTACTATCATGTCTCCCCTGGTCCTTCTCTTCCCTAGACTAGTCAAGCCCAGTTCCTGCATCTGTTCTTCATGTTTTAGTCTCCAGTCCCCTAATCATCCTGATTGCTCTTCTCTGTACTTTTTCTAGAGTCTCAACATCGTTTTTATAATGTGGTGACCAAAACTGGATGCAGTACTCTAGGTGTGGTCTTACTAAGGCTTATAGAGTGGTAGTAGTACCTCACTCTTTCTCAGTGGTATTGTGCTGGTCTGGGCTTCTGTGATCGTACTTTTCAGAGTTTCCCAACATTCTTGAGTTGTTTTCCCCTTTAGGATTTTCATCCATAGAATCTTTCCCAAGTTATCTTGAGTTTATTCAAATCAACTCTGGTGTCACTATGTTCTATTGGTAGTGTTTGTGCTATGTTGAATTCTAGTATGACATTATCACTCTCACCCAAGGTTCCTGCAGTTTCAGATCTTGGCCTATTTGAAATCTCCAGGGACTTGAAAAGTATTATCATGGTCCATCTTTACTTTCAGCCTTCTTGTGAGGCCCCAAGAACCAGGAACAACATATGGAGTTACTTCTGAGAAGTTTCTTGTATTGCTCTTCCCTTACAGACAGAATCTTGCCAGAAACTATTTCCATTACTATGGATATGCTTTGGAAATCGGAGGGGAGCCGTTTTAACCTTCTTTTTTGGAATACAGCCCCCCCTCCCTCCTGGGAATCCAGACTGCATTCCACCACAGGTCTCTTCTCAAGGCCAAACATGGCCAGTTCCTTTGATCTATCTCTTTCTAGACCAATTTCCTTGTGGGAAATTGAAACACTCCAAGGTAGACATTTCTATGTGACTTGCTATGGGGAATTTTTTTTGGGGGGGTAGAAAAGCTCTACCCAAACCATCCTCTCCCAAAGTGTTGGGACCGCCACCCATGTCCAGAGGGTACATGGTTTGAGAATGCTGGTGTGGAAAGAGGCCCTCACCAATGGGTATCAAATTGGAAATGCATTGAGCTGCACAGTGGTGCAATTCAACCGGTGTAACACCGGTTCAGTGAATACGCGCTTCATTTTTAAAAGCCTATTTTCAACTCTAATATTTATCGTCTACTGCAGCCCCTGAGAATAAAACAGCTGAGGCGCGGGAAAAACTGCTCTGCCGCGTGAATCAGTTGTGCTAAAAAAAAAACAGGAAGTAAAGCACAGGAAAGAGCAGGGGCAGGTGGGCAGGGCCAAATGCTCACCAGAACTATTGGTTCACCTGAACTGGTCCGAACTGGTAAAATCCCACCCAGGAACTGCATAAATATTGTGCTTTTCTGTGGTGGATTTTTGTTAATTGAACAAACCTCAGCTGGCTGGGTTTTTGCAACAATTTAGCCATAATTCATTGTTTATATTTTACAATGGTAGGGTTCACATGTCCCCTCCCAAAAAAGTACAAATCATGGTTTGAGAAAGAAACCACTGTCAGGATTCTGGCAGTTACTCCAATTAAATCATGAGCCTTGAGTTACACTCCCAAAACTTCAAAGACTTTATTAGAAGTTAACATGCCTGCATTAGCCTGGGTGTAGCCGACTCTGAGATACGTAATTCACTGTTACCCTTGATCCTGCTTTTCCCCCCACCCCACCCCTCTGGATGTATCATCCAACACGTCCATAGCCAAGAGTCATCAATCATGCTCTCCAATTAGATTTTTGCGGGCAGAAGCTTCAGTCATCTAATCAGTCTTTGAAGAAAATATGAATGGAATGTACTTTCGATTCCATACTGCTGCTTGCTCTTTGAACCCCCCCCCCCTTCTTTCTGCTGACAATGATAAAATGTGTATACAAAATGTTTTATGAATTGACAACCACTTTATGGCTTATTTGGATATGGGAGCCCCATCATGAAGCCTTCCTGGATCACATCCTCCTCAGTCTTTTTCCTCCTTTATTCCCCAGAAATCTCTAAGCGAGAGGAAGTAGAAGCCGTCACTATCATTGAAACTCCACCCTTGGTGGTCGTTGGGCTAGTGGGCTATATCGAGACGCCAAGGGGGCTGAGAAATTTCAAAACCATCTTTGCAGAACATATAAGTGATGAATGCCGAAGACGCTTCTACAAGAACTGGTGAGGAGGGGGTCAGCGTGAATGAGCAAGGGAAAAGCCCTGTTTGAACCAGAAAACGTTGACTCATAGCTGTGCTTTGGAAAGGCCTTGTGGGCTAAACATGTAATTATGAATACACACCCAATGCTTTGGATCAGTAAAATCAGTGGTTCTGCAGGATTGTAGGTATTTTCCTCCAGCCTTTGGTATGACCTTTTTTGTCATCCCAAGAGTGGCTACCAATCACAATTTTTACCGTGATGGAGGAGGGAACAATAACTTTCTTCAGTATATTCAGCACGATTAAAATAAAGCTGAATTCTCATATGATGTGAGGCTTCACTAAAATGGTTTGTTGTTTAGCTGCTGTGGGAATGCAGAGATGGGGCCAGGACCGTCTGGAAGTGGGGTGCTGATTCCGGAGCCTCCAGACTCTGCCAGCAGCAAGGCAGAGGAACAAGGGGAGCCTGTTCCCAGTGTGCATATGCACAGAGCTGCCAGAAGGCAAGAGCAGTTAAGACAAAAAGGGCGACTCGGGAGTACAGCTTGGGGGTGATTGCCCCTCCCCTAAAGGAAGTGCAAAGGTAGGAAAACCTTTGCAGGAAGCAACATCATTTGTTCTGATTGGTTTGGACTCTGAAAGCTCCATGGTGAATTTGTTCTCTGATATTGGAAAAACTAAAACTTTAGTCATTGGCAGCACTTCAAGTAAGATAAGGTGCGTTCTTATCAAACGTCTCTCGAAGAAGTTTGGCAGTTGTCCCTGGGACTAATTATAACCGGTTAAGACTCATTCCGGGCTGTGAGTGATGATAATCCACAGCCATTGAACTAAAATAAAAGGGCCTTGGATTTTATGTGTGTTTGTTGGTGTCTCAGGAAGCCTTGGTCAGAACACATGGAGGCTGGCGGTAGATTTCGGGACAGGCTCTGCGCTGTTTTCTTGGAAATAATTCCTGTTGTCCTTGGATCTGATTTTCCCCCGCCTTTTCTTTTCAGGCACAAGAGCAAAAAGAAGGCATTCACTAAGTACTGCAAGAAATGGCAAGATGAAGCTGGAAAGAAGCAGCTGGAGAAGGACTTTGTGTCCATAAAGAAGTACTGCAAGATTGTCCGTGTCATTGTGCACACCCAGGTGAACATTTTCTCTGGAACACTCAGATGGCACCTCTATTCTAGAAGGGTTGCTTGGCCCACTGGCTGGTCAAACTTACTCATGATTTGTTAGTGCTTGTTTCTACTTGATTGGACAAAGTCTCCATTGCCAGATGTTGCCTGGATTTTATCTTCAGAATCTGAGTACTTTCCCCTGGAGGACAGCTGAGGTTGCTAGTCCCTCTGAGCATGCACAGAATGTCTCTCTCTCACTTCTGGTTTTGTTTAAGAAACACAAACACAACATGTGTAAATGAAGCCAGAACAGAGAATTCAGTCATTTGTGGTTCAGCACTGCAAAGCCCAGTCCTGGTTGAAGTGCTGCAGACCTCCCACCAGCACAGCCCCGCCCTGCAAGTCACTGAAGCACCCTCTCATTTGGGGTGGGGGCAGAGGTGGGATTCTGGAGAACCCGTAGTGGAAATTTCGAGTCGTTTGGAGAACCAGCCAATCCGCCTCCCATCGAGTCCCAGCTGATCGGCTGGGTCTCCTTTGGTTGCCCTGCCCAGGAGAAGGGAGCTGGAAAGCAGGTTAGTGGGGTGGGGGAGGGAAGGGGGATTTTGCAGTATCCTTCCCCTGCCACACCCACCAAGCCACGCCCACAGAACCGGTAGTAAAAAAAATTGAATCCCACCACTGGGGAGGGGGTGGGGGGGCTTCTGCCTCAGTTCGGGGAAAAAAAAACCACGCTGCTGCTGCTGCTGCTTTCAGGAGTCACTCAAATAATGGCAGCCTCCCTAGTCCAGCGTTTGGGCCACTCAATTGGCCACTGGAGGCATTGAGGAAGCCCCCAAGCCAACATTGGAGGGTGGGAGCCCTCTTTGCTGTCCCTATGCAGCAGCATTCTTGATGGCCTGGTGCCAGGAGGAGGCGGGGGAGACAAGAGCCCCCAGTTCAGTGGCCATTGGGAGCCTTGTCCTCCTCCCAGATCTCTTTTTAAACGACTGATCACAACTGAGGGCAAAAGATTGCACCCTTTTAATTTAAGCAATTTCCTCACCACAGCAGCTTCATAGCAGCCTCACATAGTACCCAGAACCTAGAATAACAGGGTTGGAAGGGACCCTGGAGGTCAAACAGGAGATCCAATGCCGTTCCAGACAAATGATTGTCCATTTTTTTCTTGAAGATCTCCAACCATGAAGCACCCACAACTTCTGGAGGCAAGCTGTCCCACTGATTAACTGTTCCCATGTACAGGAAACTTCTCCTTAATTCTAGATTTGATTGCTCGTCTAGTCTATAATAATCTGCTTTGGAGAAGAGGTTGACCCCCTCTTCTTCTCTGGGTCAGATCCTCAAATATTGGAAGACTGCTATCCTGTCATCCCAGTCCTTTTCTTTGCTAGACTAGCCAGGCCCGGTTCCTGCAACCATTCATTTTATGGTTTAGCCTTCAGACTTTTTGCTTGCTTGCTTGTTTTTTTTCTTTGTTGCTATTTTCTTCACTCTTTCTAGAGTCTCTGTATATATTTTTATTTCATGGTGACCAGACCTGGATGCAATATTCCAACTGTGGTTTTACCAGTGCAATATAGAGTTATACTAGCACTTCATGTGATCTAGATCAGGGGGTCTCCAACCCTGACAACTTTAAGACTTGTGGACTTCAACTCCTACAATTCTTCAGCCAGCAATGCTGACTGGGGAATTCTGGGAGTTGAAGTTCATAAGTCTTAAAGTCTAGATACTATTCCTCTGTTGATGCAGCCTCGAACTGTGTTGGTTTTTGGGCAGCTGCAGCACCTTGCTGGTTCATATTTAAGTGGTTGTCCACTAGGATACTTAGATGCTGTTAAGTCATATACCACCTATTCTATATCTGTGCGTTTGATTTTTTCTTGCTTAAATGTAAAACTCTACTTTTCTCACCACTGAATTGCGTTTTGTTGTATAGGGCCAAGTGTTCAAGCCTGTCAAGATCATTCTGGATCTTGAACCTTTAAAACTTTTGGCTATCCCCACCAGCTTGGTGTTGTTTGCAAATTTGATGAGTTCCCCTTCTATTCCCTCATCCAAAACTTTTATGAAGATATTGAAGAGTAACTGGGCCTAACACTGAACTTGTGGTTCCCCACTGCATGCTTCTCTCCATTTAAATATAGTTTCACTGAGGACTACATACTGAGTGCAGTTGGTCAGTCAGTTATGGATCCATCTGGTGGTGAAGCTGTCTATCTCACATTGTTCAATCTAAGTAAACTATGCCCACGTATTTCCCTGGGTCCTTTAGTCATTTGGCCAAACAAGGTTGTCTGTTTTTGGAAAACCCATGTTGGCTTCTAGTGATAGCTTTGCTCTTTTCTAGGCCCTCACAAATCCAGTGCTTGATTATCCCCACATAATTGAAGGGATAGAAGGCCTTCCCCCTTTACTATTAATCTGGTACAGCAATCATTGGATGCTTCCTGGGGAAATGGGAAAATAGGACTCGTTTTCTTGCAGCCTAAGTCTCACTGCCCTGACGTTCCTGGGATAACAGTGATTATAACATTGCGAGAGACAGAGGAAAACATCTCTCCTGCCCCCCCCCTTCTCTGAGCTATGTGTGACTTCATAGACCTCTTTTGTGCCGGGTTAGAGAGCCCTCATCTCTGCAATACTTCATCAAAGGAGAGGGAGGTAAAGGAGGAACAACGGGAATCTGACACTCAGAGACCCCCTGGAGATCCAGGCCAGGCTGGGAGACCCCGGAGTGCAGCACAGTTGAGAATCCTTCTCTCTCCCCCATGTAGGGCCTGCAGGACGTGCTTCCAAAGAGTGGTGCTTGGAGCACTGCATGTTGACATTTGGGAGGATGTCAGCCCTCTTTAAGGCTGGAGAGCATCTGCTGAAGGGTTTCTGTCTTGTGGTTTGGTTTTGGGTGCTTGCAGTGGTGGCCCAATTGCTCCCTGCACCCAATGAAGGAACATTTGATAGTGAATTCTGTATTGGAACTTTCCATTACAAACCAAATGAAGTGCTGCTCCCTGATCCTGAACACTAAGTTTACCTATTCCCACATACTGAACTTCTCAAGTGAGACAATAGCCACAAAGTCCCAACTTTTGCAAATCTGCAAGCAGGTGGAAGGTTTGGAGCGGCTAGATCGCCTGCTCCTTACCCTTTTGGCCAGTTAAGTGTTGAACATGTATCTTTGCAGCCTCTGCTGCGTGGTGCAATTTTTGAGCCTTTTTGGTTGCAGATGAAGCTCCTGCCAATGAGGCAGAAGAAAGCACATATTATGGAGATCCAGCTCAATGGAGGCTCTGTGGCAGAGAAAGTTGACTGGGCTCGTGAGAAGCTGGAGAAGCTGGTGTCTGTGCACAGTGTCTTCAGCCAGAGTGAGATGATCGATGTCATTGGAGTCACCAAAGGACATGGGATGAAAGGTAGGAGGCAGCAGACCTGGAATCCGGAAACATCTTGGATCAAAGGCTGATAGGAGGTGGAATGACTACAGATTGCATTTCAGATGAATGACGCCTGAAGCCATTCAAGATTTTGGGGAAAGTAGATTTTTCTTTATTTCTGACCAGAGATGTCCATACCTTCCCTGGGGCTTGATAGGTTTCCTCCTCAACCTCACTTCAAGTTCTTTAAAAAAATTAAAATGGCTGGATGGAGAATTCTGGGAGTTAAAATGACACATCTTCAATCTGCCAAAGTTGAGAAACATTGGTTTAAAGAATAAAGTCAACAGAAAATAAAAACCAGGACAGCCATTTTGTGAGAGTGCCTATAATACACTTCCATAATTCTGGGTATGATTTGTTCTTTTTCCTCCCCTTTTCTTCTTTAGTAAATAAATGCTGATCCTCAGTCAAGTAAGGCCAAGTCAGGAAAGAGGAATGGCTGACATGTCAGAGATGCTGTTTATTATTGTAGGGTAGAATACAGTAATGGAATCTTGGAAGCCTACTGCTCCTTATACCAAACAAAAGGAGGGATTTTGAATTTTTCCTGATTTTCACTTTCTCGGTTGTCTTTTCTAAAACTCTTTGTTTAATGCTTCATTCATTTCCTCTCCATCTGAAGACTAGGTTGTTTTGTTCTTCTAGATCAGGGGTGTCAAACCTGATTTCATTGAGAGCTGCATCAGGTCTGTGTTTGACCTTGGGGGGGCTGGAGCTGCGTGGCCAGGTTGGGCGTGGCCAGCTCGACGTCACTTGTGTCGGGAGCGCCTGTGGTGGCCCAAGCGTCTGCTAGCAAAAATGGAGCTTGGGAAGGCTGCATGGTTGCAGGAGGCTGTCACAGTTGAAAACGGAGATACAGCTCCATCTTCGCTGGCAGAGCCATCATGGGTCGGTCCTTTACTGTCTCCAGGACGGCCACGGGGGCCAGATCTAAGCACCCCACGGGCTGGATCCAGCCCGCAGGCCTTGAGTTTGACACCCCTGTTCTAGGTACTGCAGGTAGTCCTTGGCTTACAAACATTCATCTAGTGATGTCAAGTTACAATGGGATTGCAGAACATGACTTAACAATTAGTTCCAGCATCCCCATTGGCACACGATCAAAATCCAGATGCTTGGCAACTAGCATTATGATGGCTATGTCAAGTGTCTGAAACAAGGGCTCCCAAACAAGGGAACGCTCTTGGGGGCTTTGGATTCCCAAAAATGAAACTTTATTGGATAGAGCATTTTGGTACTGGAGAATCGGAACCGGCTCTGGTTTTTCCGTGCAAATGCTTGCCTAGTTAAACCATAGCTTCCCTTTCTCCCCTCCCCTGGGCGATCCCATTGTCCAATTATGAAACGTCCTTTTGTTATGGGAACAGTCCACCTCCTTCTCAAGCACCTGCAGCTGTGACCTTGATGGTTTCCAGGCTCTCACGATCCATTCCTCCTTCCTCCCCCTGAGTCATTGGCAAGTGGAAAAGCGATAAGGTTTGAAAGAGGCAAAGCGGTTCGATCTTGACAGGCTGCCTGTCCTGGGATCCTAGGATTGTCCTTTGCGACTTTCCCAGATAGCTTCCAACAAGCAGAGTCTGTGGAAGAAGCCCATAGGGGGAAGCCAGATTCACTTAACAACCATGTAATTCACTTAATGACTGGTGATTTGCTTAATGGCCGGCAGCAAAAAGGGTGTTAGAACTGGGGACAACTCACTTAACCACCACCTCACTTAGCGATGGAAGTTCCCATCTCAATTACAATATGGTATGGTAGCTGTAACCAAAACTCCAGTGGCCCCAACTCCAGTGTGGTTAATGGTGAAGGAGGGCAGCTCAAGCCACATCGGGAGGGACGCCAACTTTCCATCCCTGCCTCAGACGCCCAGAGGATCATCGTCCTGCCTCTAACCTGAAGGTTGCCTTTCTGCAGGGGTGACGAGTCGCTGGCATACCAAGAAACTCCCAAGAAAGACTCACAAAGGCCTGCGGAAGGTTGCCTGCATTGGAGCCTGGCACCCTGCGCGGGTGGGCTACTCGATTGCCCGGGCTGGCCAGAAGGGCTACCACCACCGCACAGAACTCAACAAGAAGGTATGATTCCCCCACAGGCAACTCATTTGAAGCCCAAACACACGAACAGCCTCCATTGCACCCACCTCTGGCAGAGTCAGAGTGTCTTGGGAACAGAAGCTGCAACCCACTGATCCATCTTTCCTCCTCACCCACCAGCTGTTTGATAGATACGGCTGGTAGGTGTGATGCTATCGGGCTTAGCAAATGTGTGGCAAGGCTCATCTGGGAGCAGAGAATTCGGGATTAGACATATTTTACAGGTATGGCAGGACTGCAACTTCCCATTCCTTGCTGAAGTTGCTCTTAGAATTCTGGGAAAGCCCATGCAATGCCACACCTCCCATTCTGCCTCTTCTGCAAGATGGGAAAGTGTGTGTGTGTGTGTGGGGGGGTGTTTTTACCAAGAAACAAACAAGGTCCAAGGTTTTAGGAGAGCTGCTTTATGTCATTTTTGCTTTGCCTTCTGTAGGGGAACACTTAATACTATAAAACTGGTATGTAACAATTGAAGCGTTAACAACTGAAGCCTCCTTTTTTAATCCATTACATAATTTATTATATAAAACCTAAATTATATTTGCAATCCAAAGGTACCTATCCCATACAATCTACCTTTTTTCCTTCTTGCTTTCCTCTCTATAGTTTATTCTTACGTTAGTGGTAGCCTTTATATGATGCCATATTTTGAAAGTGCACTTGCAAAGGTTATCATTGGATTTAAGAAACTATGAAAACTTTTCTGAAAGGGGCAAATTGATTTTGTGTTCTGTTGCCTAGAAAGCTGCAGGGTCATATCCCTGAAGTCTCCAGGTGTCAACTCAAAGGAGCCTTTTGCTTCTAGAGTCCATAAGCCACAGTTTTCAGCAGCTCAGAGGAAATCTGATTTTGGCGGGCCAGGGGGTGGCCGACTGGGACAATGCAGCCTATGGTGCCTCCTTTGTGGTGATGTGGCCCTTAAGAGCAGGATTCCTGAAGGCCAGGAATCAGATGTGGCAAAGGAAGCAGGGCTTAGGCGTCATTGGGTAAGGTAGACTCGGACAGCCTTCATTCTCCAGTTTGTTGGACAACATGGGAAATCACTTTGGCCAAATCTTTTTACCTTTAGGTTTATCGCATCGGCCGTGGGATCCATGTAGAAGATGGCAAAGTGGTCAGAAACAATGCATCCACCAATTATGACCCAACAGAGAAAAGCATCACCCCCCTGGTAAGGAGGCCAGAAGGAAGGCTAGTTCTTCTGGCTGGAGAATGATCCTTTGAATGTTTCATCATGAACTCTTCTCTTCAGGTACCATCTTTTTAAGAAGACGAAAACCTATGCTTTAAAACAGGGGTGTCAAACTGGATTTCTTCGAGGGCTGGATCAGCACTGTAGTTCTCTGCGGGTGGGGTGAAGGAGACAAGACAGGTGCCTCCTGTAGCACCCTGCCAGCCAAAATGGGGCACGGGGTGCGTCCAAGGCCCCTCCCCCTGTCTTCAGCCTGGACAGCTTCTATAACACCCTGCCGGCCAAAGCAGTTTGCGGGGGGGGGGGGGGGGCTCATGCAGCCCCCTCACTGTGCCGTTTTGGCCAGCAGGATGCTGCAGGAGACCATCCAGGCTGAAAATGGGATGCTGGCGGGGGGCACACATTTTGGCTGCCAGAGGCACTTTGCTATTTCCAGGGCAGCCCCACAGGCCAGATTTAGGCACCCCGCGGGCCAGATTCAGCCTGTGGGCCTTGAGTTTGACACCCCTGCTTTAAAGTAATGTCTTGTCTTCAAAATCCAGTTCTCCCCAAATGCATTCCGATGCTGTTCTGGGGAATAGTGGGAGAACTTTTGGAAGCACCAGGGCACTTTCTTTGACCACCTGACTATTATTTCAGCCCAGGATAGTAATAGCTCTTAGACTTATATACCACGTCACAGTGCTTTACAGCCCTCTCTGTGGTTTACAGAGTCAGACCCCAACAATCTGGGTCTTCATTTTACCCACCTCAGAAGGATGGAAGGCTGAGTCAACCTTGAGTTGGTCAGGATCAAACTCCTGACTGCGGTCAGAGTTTGCTTGCAATTCTGCATGCTAACCACAGGGAAGGAAAGGGAGAGAGGGAAGGCGCTTAAGACGTATATACCGCTTTATAGTGCTTTACAGCCCTCTCAAAGCAGTTTACAGAGTCAGCCTCTTTTCCCCAATAATCTGGGTCCTCATTTTACCCACCTGGGAAGAATGGAAGGCTGAGTCAACCTGCAGCCTGGTGGGATTCGATCTGCCATATTGCAGTAGGAGTAGCTTGCAGTACTGCACTCTAACCACTGCGCCACCGAGGTTCTCTATAGATTATCAAGATCCCTGATAGATGCAGGGCTTCCCTATATTGGGTCACTTGAAGAGGGCAGAGGTGGGAAAGTCCCTTCTGTGCTGGAGACAAGGCTAGAAAAGCTCTCTGGGTTAGAGGAGTTAGATGACTCAGAGAACTCGAGGCAGTTTGGGATCAAGGAAATTCACGATTGTCTACCAGGAAGGGGTCAAAACAGTCAAAATGGGGGTCATGACCACACAGTTGAAGGCCAACCCCCTTTTTTCACTTATGCCACACATGTATCACATGATAAAAGGGGGAAAGGCTTCAACTGTATGACTGACACCATGTTTCAAGAAGTTTAATCAAATGCAGTTAAAAGTCATAAGCCATAATTGGGATTGGGATTACACACACACACACACACACACACACACACACACACACACACACACAAAACAGGAACTGGAAAATGCCTCACAGGAGCGGATAGAGGTAAATCCTAGAGAGGCAGGAAATGCATCACAGAACAATGGAGGTGAATGCTAGAGAGGGCTAGTGCTGCCTAAGGACACAACCCCTACAACAGCTGTTGCCTTGATTTTTTAAATCTACCCTCCCCGCCCCACATGCCTGTGGTTACCAACCAGGCATCTGGGCTCCATGCCTGTAGACATTCCCTGCCATCTTCTAGTTTTTAAAAAGTTTCAAGTTTACTTTAAATTTAAAAATCCACATGGAATGCTATAGTTGGAGGAGCCCTGCTGGTGCAGAGGTGAGAATGCAGCCTTGCAGGCTGACTCTGCCCACAGCCAGGAGTTCGATCCTGACTGGCTCAAGCCTTTCATCCTTCCAAGGTTGGTAAAATGAGGACCCAGATTGTTTTGGGAATTTTCTGCACATTAAATACCGTAATGCTTTAGGATTCCATTTACATCCATTGGTGTGTTTATAAAATGACAAAATGGGAATAGAAGTTGGCAGGGGGCCTAGAAAATGGGAATAAGTTGGCAGGGAGCCTGATAAACATCACCAGAGAGTATTCCAGTCATGGCATTGACGCATTTGCAATGGGCCATCCTTGCAAAGGCAGCCATTTTGTGCATGGTGAAATTTCTTTGTGGCAGCCATTTCCTTTGAATGCCGTGACATGCTTCCCAAGGGTCAGATGTATCTTCTGGTGAGGACCGCTATCCATCTGGGGTCATTAGTGAATAAATACCACCCTCACTCTGATGTCCTTTCTACCTTTCTGTCTTCCAGGGTGGATTCCCTCAGTATGGAGAAGTCAACAACGACTTTGTGATGGTGAAGGGCTGTGTGTTGGGTACCAGGAAGCGGGTGCTGACCCTGAGGAAGGTGAGGGCCTCACTGAGGCATTGTGAAGGACAGTGGATAAGTCTAGGGATGAAGGACAACCAGTGTGGCTCTTTGGCGGGAGGGCTGGTCTGTGGGGGTTGACCGATCCAAGGTGGTGTGCTGCTCTGCAGAGGGTGAGGCTGGGAGGATTCAGCCTGAGCAGATTAGCATTTCAGCAAACCTGGAAGCCATCAACAGGAGGCTCACAGTGCCACTGCTTGCACACCAGTCTTGTGCAGGGATCACCACAAAATGGGGTGGGAAATGCAGTGAAAGCCGTACAGAAATGGCTTGAATTTCTTAGAAGAAACACAGGAGGTAATGGACATTAGGAAGAAAAAGAAATGTTTTTATTCATAATTATCTAAGCCAAGTGTCTAGGCCCTCAGACTAGACCGTACCTAGTTTTGGGCTCAATTTTACCTATGAAATTGAGGCTTTTGCAGTCTTCTTCATTTATTTATTACATTTGTTTGTCACTCCTATTGCCGCAATGTGCAGTGATTGTGCACTAGATTAGATTGTGCATACATTCTGAGCACTAAATTTCAGTGAGGGGCATGGGGATTTGCCGCATAGGTATGTAGCTGCCCTCCACCTGTGAACTACAGCTCCCAGATCACGTGCACTTATTACACTTGTATCCTGACTTTCCTCGTGGAGATCAAGGCAGCAGAAATGGGGGTCCCCCTTCATTGCCACCACACACCCCTGAGCTGAGAAAATGTGCCTGGCCCAGAGACCCCTGCTGAGCTTCCAGGGCTGAGGAGGGAGCTGCCTCCCTGGTCCAAGCCCAACATTTTGATCCCTGCCCTGTGCTGCTTTCCTGGAAAGAACTGCTGCCTGGAGAAGCTTCCACCATTCTGGGGCTCTGGGCTGCCTCTCCTCCAGGCTTCTGCCGTAACCCTTTCCTCCTGCGTCCCCAGTCCCTTCTGGTCCACACAAGCCGAAAAGCTCTGGAGGCTGTGGAGCTGAAATTCATCGACACCACCTCCAAGTTTGGCCACGGCTGCTTCCAGACAGCACAAGAGAAGCGGGCCTTCATGGTGAGTCTGTGCTGGGAAATACCCCTGCCAAGCTGGACAAACAAACCGGTGGGAGTTCTCCGTATGAAACCATGATTTGTTTCAGTCATCCAAGATTAGGGCAGTTCTGTGGGAAGTATTCTGCTGGTGCATTCACAAATTAATGTCAGAATTTGATCCAAACTGGTTATTTCCTTTAGCAGCTTTTAATTGAGAAAGGAAGCAGTGAGGTTCAGAGTGAGATTATTCTGGAACTCAATGCAGTTTTTGTTTATTTTCATTATATATGGTAGTAAAGCTTGAATTATCCCTCTATTTGCGTTTTTGTTCTAAGGACACCTGGGAAACCTGTTTCCATTCACAAATTGTTCTAGTGCAGCTTAATCTCCTTTCTGTTCCCAATGAGATTCAGTCCTAACCATTATGTTTTTAATCAAGATTCTAAAGGTTTATATGTTCCCATCAGCTTCTTGTCTTTGTTGCTAAACAATAACACGGAAGCTCTTTCTTAGGTCTCACTCTCCTTATCTGAGGCCTTCCCTTTGCTGTCAAAAGAGAGCCTCCATCTTGACCCCAGCACAACTGGATCAAAGTGACCCACCAAGAAAGGTTTTAGGTCAGGAAGTCAAACGTAGCCCCCATGCAGGTCCCAGTTTCCAGGGAGGAGCAGCCATAGAGCAATAGGAACAGCTGCAGTTGGCTTCTGCCGGACAGGCCCTAGGGAGATTGGCCTAGGGAGGAAACATCTGGCCAAGCCAAGTTGGCATTTTTCTTTGTGGGCTTGGGCAGCCTAATCCATCACCAAGAGAACCTCCTCTGCTGCTTCGGCTTTCCCCTTCCGGCAGGCGTGCTGGAGAGGAGAGCCTAGGGAACCAGGGCGGGGCATTGGATTGAAAAAGTCAAGTTGTGAGACAAGTAAAAGGTCAAAGCGGGCCTTTGACCACACAGGCGGAGATGCCATCTTCCCTTTTTGTCCACCTGTGCCTGGGAATTATTTTTTTGCCATATGGAATCCAAGACGGAAGAGAATTGCATGTCAAAATACATTAAATTTTGCAAACTCTAGGATTCTTCCCTCTTGGCAGCTGGACATGGCAGTCGTGGGGGGAACATGGAGAGGCAAGCTAGTCCCCCCCCCCCCCCCCCCCCCCCCCCCCCGGCTTCAGACATGGTCTTTGCTTCCTTTCCTCCCCTCTGGGGGAAGTTTCCCTCTTCAACCATCTTGGACATTTTAGTCACAATCCAATATAGGCCACCATGCAGAATTTTTCTTAAAAAGGGACACAAAGGCCATGCCTTTGGCCTTCTGCATTTACAGATCCTGCGGTTTAGCCCTAAGTGACGATAAGACAGTCCTTATAAACTGGTGTGATATGAAACGAATGAACAAGGAGAATTTTTTTCCCTTTCAACATGTGGCTAATGCTTAGATCTCCCAAAAAAAACTGAGCAGGGAAAGATTCAGGCTACTGCCGAAGTTCTTTAAGGATCACAAAACCAACTGAAATTTAATCTCATTTTTTAAAATGGAGAAAAATCTGCCCAACTACTGTTTCTTTCTGGAAAGGTGGAATGAAACCATAGAAAAATGAACCGGGCATTACTGTATTGTTGAACCTTTCTTCTCATATCTATCTGGAAGACTAAAATGCCTCCGTTGCACAGTCAGAGCCATCACATTGACTGATATTCAGAATAACAGAGTTGGAAAGGACTGTGGAGGTCTTCTAGTCCAAGCCCCTGCAGAAACAGGAAATTATGCCATATCAGGCAAATGGTTGTCCAGTTTTTTCTTTGTAACTTTCAGGGTTGGAGCCCCACAACTTCTGCAGGCAAATCATTCCATTGATTCATTGTTCTGTCAGGAAATTTCTCCGGTTAGAACTTCTCCTGGCAGTTAGACTTTCAAAGGCAGTTTTGCAGGGTTTAGGTCGGGCCTGGCTGCAACCCTATTCTGAAGATGGCCAAGAAATAGAACTGCAACATCTCGACTGCAAAAAGTCAGATAGCAGAGATCTGGAAGATAGGAAATATTTGCTGCCAGTTAGGGGTGAAGTCGCAGCTGAAATCTTGTAGCCCACCAGAAGACACGCCTAGAATGTGTGAAGGAGTATAGAAATAAGGCAGGCCTCTCCACAGAAATCCATCAGGAGCCCTTGCCACATAGTTTTGGCCATTTAAGTGTAGCAGTCTGAGACGCTGACAGCCATTTTTCTTCTTCTTTGGTTTCAGGGCCCTCAGAAGAAACACCTGCTGAAAGGGAAGCCAGAAACTTCAGAGGAATTGTAAAGGTGTTTCTCTGAAGAAGAGACTTCGGAATTGTTCATGTCTGGGGCTTTATCAAATATGAGTGCAAACATGGTCTCTGTTTTTGAAATGGAATAGTTTTTGTCAGCCTTAGAAAAAAGATCACTGTATTGAAAGAGAAACCCCAATATTTATAATAAGGGTTATTCAGGGAGGATAAAAAAAATCAATATGGCACTTGTGATAGCATGATTGAAGTGGTTGTCATCTTGACTTTTTTTACCACTCCATCCATGGACATGTCTGAACCAAGATACTTGCTTATATTTTTGCACCTTTGCCTGGTGCTAATAAAGGTATTGTCATATTATGTAAGATGGATTTTTCTTCTGTCGCTTTCTGAAATCTCTCGGGACTTTACAGTATATCTGGCCAAATGAGCAGATGTTTGGTCAAAATTTAAGGAGAAAATTCTAGTAATTAGGTCAATCAGCTTCCATGAAAGTAATTTTGTCCCATTTCAAATTCTTGATTGAATTGGTTCCTTAGTTCTTCATCTATTAAAACCTTTTAAAATAAACAACAAGCAGTGATAGCAAATATTATTTTTTCAGGTTACCAGAGGAACGTTCATGTGTGAAGGGACCAAGGGGGAAGTGACATCATCACAGGTGATATGCCTTGCGCCTAACACCTATGAAACACGATTCATCCAGTAATCTGGGGTGCAGATAATGCTGCTCGTGTGGCTTCCAACCAGATCATAGGAAATTTTGATTTTCAAAGCAGTGTTCTTGGACATTAAAATGTATACTCAACAAACTTTGGAAACCTTTGAAAAATAGTAAAAATGGATGAACTCCTAAATAGTAATGTAACTTCTGGCCAATGTCTATGAACAATATAGAAGATGTGCAAAAAGTCAGCTAAAAATCAGTTAACCTTTGCAAAAATAACAATTTATAAAAATACTGTCTCAAAGTTAGCTTGAGTTTAAAGTTTAAAAAAGAAACCCTAAATTTCAATCCCCAAATTTCAATCCCAGTTGTCACAGGAAACATATTTGTGTTAACCTCAAAAATAGAATAGCTTTTTCTGCTGCAAATGTTTTATGTTGCTGCGAATGTCAACTAGTTAAAGCCTTTGAACAGAAGATGTTTTAAAATTTTATTTTTGTGCCAATCTCTAGATCTCAAGTAAATAGTAAATTACCCATGAAACATGAGGATTTTTTTTATTTTGGAAACAGCATTAGGGTGAATTAGCTATGGCTTATTCAATCATGATTTGTTGACTAAATTCAAATCCATACTACATAAGTGGTGCCAGAATGCTTTAGTGTTTAATTTCTCTGTCACACAAGTAATAATTTATTAAATACACTGCCAAACTCCCAGTGATTCTGGACCGTTAGGAACAAGTGCAGCAGGAATGGAAAAAAAACCCACTTCAAGGACTGATTCAAGCCTTTATTTCCTTTCGCCTTCCCTCCTGTTCTTGCAGCCATCGGATATACATATTATCCCAGGTTAGCAAAGCCCTTATAGAAGTGTCTGGTTCACTAATGTCAGCTTGTGCGTTGCTATGGCTGCTTTCTTGAAACGTTGCATTGTGAAGAGGATCGCCTCCCCTGATTCAGGTCTCCTGCAGTGTAGATAGGAAGACAATCCGGGAAGGAGGAGATAAAGAAGGGGGAGAATCCATGCACTCCGGTAGACAAGCACCCTGGTCCCCTGGCGGCAGCAGGCGGTTCTTTTGAGTTAATAATGCTCAGAGAAGGGGTTCCCCTTCTTCCTGGCCCCAGGAGTTTCTGAACTGAAGCACATTTTAAAACCCAGACCAGGTCAGGTTTCTTCTGAGACCTCTGGATCAGGACGGTGGAGTGTTGATGGCTCCCCTGCCCTGTATTCTTAGTCTTCAGCTTCTACTGGGGTCAGAGTGAATTCAGAACCAAAGCTTTAGTACCCAGCTTTCAGGTTGCCAATAGCCAGGAAATAGGGAGAGGCTGTGAATAGCCCAGATTGTGTGGTAGGAAACATCACTCTTCCTTTTTTTTTTTTCAAAAACTGTCAGTCAAGCTGAAGGGGCCTTTCACTCTTATTTCCTCCTCCACAGAGACCCTGTTGAATGTTATTGATGGTTCTGCCATTTAACTGATACTTAAAACTAAAATTACTTGCAGAGATGCAACATGGAGAGAATTTCAAGCAGTCAGGGGTCTTGGCATCTCTGCTGCCTTTTCTTTCTCAGCCACACAGGGTGCTTGTCAGATACTTGGGAGTATCTCCTCCTGCAATAAGCCACATCCAGACAAATCTCCTTCATCTGAAAACAGTTCCAGAGAGAAGAGAGGCCAGCAGGGAGAACCTTTATTCTCAAGCTCAGGTGCCCCTATGATGACCAGGTATCTGGTTAGTTCCCTTAAGAGACTGGAGCAGGTCAGCCACCAGAGGACAGCACCTCACATGTTTCTGACATCCTCAGCTAGAAGTTCTTCCTGTGGTCCTTCTGTGAGAGGCTGGGATTCCAAACCAGAATGCATCAGAGGTAAGATGATATCATCCATATTTGGCATCACTAAAATTTTCTGATGGGAAGCAAGAATGAAAAATTAAAATTAAATTTGCCTGGAGGTTTGCAAACCAAAGGCTCCTACACTCTTACAGTGAGACTAAGGCTATGGCTGTGGAAGAGAAGCCAATATTGGGTCAACGTGATGGAACTGAATGTTTCAGAGAAGGCACAACTCCAGTTAAGAAGGAGAGCTCTTTGCTATTGCTATTGTTCCAGGCCTCTCAACAGTAGAATGACCAGTGGCAACTGCAATTTTCAATGTTAATTAATGCCTTCAATGAATGCCTTTCAATGTTAATAATTAACTAATACTAATTAAGTAGCTAATGGAAGTGTGTGTGGTAAGGAAACTTCTTACTAGAAAGCAAGTAAAGCTACAAGTAGGAAGATCCGGCAAAAGAGAGGAGCTAAACATGAACTAACTCTGAACTGAAGAATCACATCATGCACTAAAGAAAAGGAAGGAAATGACTCTGCTTTTCCCAAGAATAACTGTTCCCAGGGGTTACATCTATCAACTTTTTACCCACTTCCATTAAAGATGTAGATACTGTATGTGCACAACACATACATGTGGTTAGAATTATCTTTGCTTGCTTCTTTGGTTTTGGCCATGGTTTAATATATTGCAAATCAACCCATTGTGCAGTTTAACAAATTGGGTGGACTCAAAAAATAGGTTAATTCAGAATCCCAAATGTTGTATGAACAGCCACTAGAATTCAGTCATGCACTATCCAAAACCACCACTTGTTTGCCTTTTCCTTTCTGTAGCAATTGAAAAAGATGGAAGTAAAGACAAGCCAGGGAGCTTTCCAGGCCATCTAAACCTCTTGGCCAAACGGAACAGGGACAAATGGGTCTTATACTTTAAAAGCCTCTTAGGGTTTGGCCAGCCCACATTAAGTTGCTTCCAGCTTGATTCCTTTGGAAATACACTTAAGCTGGGGGCTCTCAATACCTCTTGCGGCTGCAAGAACATCTCAGGATTATCACTAAGGGACCTGAACTGAGTTCAACTTAGGATCCCTTCCAATCCTTCATCATGGGCTACATCAACCAAATACCTGGAATTCATGCTGGAGCTTCTTCTCAATCCACTCAGTGATGTGCGGGAAGGTGACCTCCCGGTCTCCTAGCTGTGGCCGTACCTTCATATCTAACTGTGGAGGGATCCGGAAGCTGTACCTGGGGAGCAGGGAGGCAAAAGTGATTCTACTTCCTTTCCCTCTGAAGCATTTTTTTTTCTGCTGGCAGTTGGATGGTTTCCAGTGGACAGGGAGAAAACCTCGTTCACCCTTCTCTGCTGGCCTAAAGCGAGGCTGCACTGGGGATCTTATCCCAGCAAACCAGGATTAAAAATTCTCTAGTTCTTAATGGGAGGTCAAAAGAAGGCCAAAGTATCTGTTTACAACTAACACTCCGCCTCTTGTTACACTCCTGTCTTACTCAGATGTGGCTGAGCAAATAAGATGAAGACTCCTAGAATCTATTTTGTAAAAGAATATTAAAGGTAGATATGGAAAAATATAATTCTATGTTCTGTTCTTTGACAGCAACTGTTGTCTCGCCTTTGCTTAATCCATATGTAGATACCATGTTCCTTCCCTAGAATTCCAGAACTCAGGAGAATTTACAAGAAGGGCTACCAGGACCATCTCAACCATTTATGAACTTTCCTTCTACCTGCTGCTGTCCTGGCTGCTGCCAGGGATATGGTGATGGGGCAGTTTACTAACAAGTCTCCATTTCTCCTTCCAAGTCCATGATGCCTGTCTGGCATAGTGCTCAAATCTCATGCAGCCTCATCTTTGCTAGATCCAACCAGAAGGTCAGTTCCTCTGCTTCTGCTCCCTGGGCACCTACCAGATTCGATCTGTTGGAGGTGGAGGGATGTTCACAGCCAATGTGCCTGTCAGATCTTGGACCTCCACAGTCAAAAGCAGTGGAGTGTTGGAAACCTCTTCCATCTTCTTCTTAATGAATTCATTTTCAGTGGCCTTCTGGAAATATTTGGATTTAGCAATCTTGTCCACAAAACGCAAAATCTTCCGACTGGTGCTGCCACCACTGATGTAGCTAAGAGAGAAGTGGAAGCAGATCACCTTAAATAGCAGGGATTAGAAATTAATAAATCCAAACAGAGATATATTTCTTTGTTCAATTTCTATGATGAGCAACTGTCCAGGCTTCACTGTATGACATTGGCCAAATGTGAGACATGACCAGGGGTTGGATTCATCTGGTTCGGGCCGATTCAGGCCCAAAATGGTAATTGAATGCAGGTAAGTTTTGGATGTAGGTAAGTGCAGGGTCCACACGGAGGCTCTGGAAGGGCAATAAACGGCCCTCCCAGAAGTTCCGGAAGGCTGAAAACGAGCCTGTTTCTGGCTTCTGGAGGGCCGAGGGAGGCCGTTTTCACCCTCCCAGAGGCCTGAGGGAAGTCTCGAGACAAAAATGGCCCTCCCAGAAGTTCTGGTAGGCCACGACCACCATGGCCACACCCACCGAGCAAGCGGGAAGAGAACCAGTTGTTGGGATTTTTGGGTCCCACTCCTGGACATGACAAAGGTGAGTCGAGTGACAATCTAGTTTAGGGAAATAAAATTGCATAAACCCTGCTGAGTTTATGAGAATGTGCTGCAACTATATTCCCTGAATTTAAGACAACTGGACTGATAGTCAAGACAAATCAGAAAGCTCCCAAAAGCAAGTCTCAAAAGAAGAACTTCACCTAGATCCTTTTTGAGAATCCTAAGAAAGAGGGTGAGAAATCTGAGAATAT